AGCAAAGTGGGATATAATTATTTTGTTACACGTCCGCAGATCTTGGGCGAGTGCATGTCCTTGACCATTAGGCTTTTTAAAAGCAGGTGACACTAGGTGATTGCAAGGACTAGTACAAGGAATGACCAGTCCTTTTTCTTCGAAGCTGGTCGCCGTTGGCCTGTGGCCTTCCGAGGCTTCCGCTGGAGGGCATTGAGGAAGTTTTGTAAAGATTTAGCGGAGCTCTTTTGGCTTTTGCTCTGGTGAGTGGATTCTGTCCATAGAATCTTTTCCCCGTAGAGATTTTGGGGCGACAGTTCATTCTTGCTTATTTCTTGAATCACATACACAGTTTGGACAAACTAATATCCCGATCAGAAGCCGGATCACCCAAACTATGAGCAAAACTGCGTTCTGAGGCTACTTCCCAGTGGGACTGGGCACCCTCTCAGCTCCCAAGGGCTTTTCCATAAGTAGCGCACAGAGGCGCGCTTTCGCGGGGAGAGTGCCGCGGCCCCCGGCTCCCTCCCCTGCCCCGACAGCTGAATGACTGACTCATAGGAGCACCACAGCAAATGCGAAGAACAAAAACCAGACAATGAAACAAAGGTCACAATGTTAATGTTAGAGGAAACTTGCTTCTGTTTCTTTAAGAAAACGTGGTGCAGTGTTAGTTCTGCCGATGAGAGTTTTGTCAATGGAGACTTATCAAACACGAAAACTGTGTCTGTGTTGCTACTGTTGTTATTTTGAAAAGCTTCTCTGAGATATAATAATCTACTCTACAGTTTGCTGATTTAAAGTATGCACTTTGATGGCATCATGTGATTTGCCTCCATGTCCACGGTCCACTTCGAGTCCTTTTTGTCCCCCCTGAGAAGAAAGGAAGGAATCCCGCTAATGGCCGTCACTCCCTAGTACCGCCGTTCGCCAGGCTCCAGGTGACCACTGATCTGCTTTCTGTCTCTGGACTGGCCTGTTCCCGGCATTTACATGGTGTAATCACAGCGTATGGGGTCCTCTCTGCAGGGCTTCTCCCACTCAGCGTCGTGTTTTCGAGGCTTGTCCGCGTCGTTGCTGTGTATGACTGGGTTTCCGGTGTGTGGCCGAACCACACGTATTCCTTGTCCCTTATCCATCAACTGAAGGGTGTCTGGGTTGCTTCTACTTTGTTGTTATGAATAATGACGCTGTGAACGTCTGTGTCCATGTTTTGCTGTGGACGTGTGTTTGCATTTCTGTTGGGTGGGTAGTAGGGGTGGGATTCCCGGGGTCACATGATCATAGGGTTTTAGCCACTCGGGGGGCTTTCAGCCCATTTTCCAGGCCTACCAGCGATGCCCGAGGGCTGCAGTTGCTCCGCGCACTCGTCCGTGTTTTTAATTAACTTTCTGATCGTGGCCATCCTAGTGGGCGTGAAGTGGGATCTCACTGGCTTTCGTATGCATTTCCCTGCTGGCCGGAAATGTTGAACATCTTTTCACGTACTTGCTGGCCATCTGTATATCTTCCTTGCGGAAATGTTTATTCAACACTTTTGCCCATTTTGAAATTGAGTTATCTTTTTATTATTGATCTGTAAGAGTTTTCTGTATATTCCAGATACCAGTCCCTTATCAAACACGTGATTTATAAAATTTTTCTCTCATTCTGTCAGTTGCCTTATTACTTTCTTTTTTTTTTTTTTTTAAGATTTTATTTATTTATTTGACAGAAATCACAAGTAGGCAGAGAGGCAGGCAGAAAGAGAGAGGAGGAAGCAGGCTCCCCGCTGAGCAGAGAGCCCGATGCGGGGGCTCGATCCCAGGACACCAAGATCACCACCCGAGTTGAAGGCAGAGGCCCAACCATGGAACCACCCAGGTGCCCTGCCTTATTACTTTCTTGATAGTGTCCTTTGGAGTACAGAAGTTTTAAATTTTGATATCGAGTCTTTTTTTTCTTTAGTTGCTTGTATTTTCGGTGTCATATCTGAGAAACCATTGTCTGATCCAAGGTCATGAAGATTTATCCCAATGTTTTCTTCCAAGACTTTTTGGTTTTAGCTGGATATTTAGGACTTTGGTCCATTTTGAGTTAATTTTCACTTCCATTGGTTTGCATGTGAATATCCAGTTGTCCCAGCATCATTTATTAAAAAGATTATTCATTTGTCCTTTCTTCATTCAATTATTTTGATACCCTTCTTAAAAATCAGTTGAGGAAAATAAAACGAGGGTGTATTTCTGGATTCTCACGTCCATCATGGATCTGTTTGTCTGTCGTTATGCTAGTACCCCGTTGTTATTTCTATTGATGAAAATAAGATGAAGTTATTATAAAGCAAAAATATCAGACATAACACATCTCAACTCTTTGTATATATGTATTTTAAGATTTTTTTAAAAAGACTTTATTTATTTGAGAGAGAGACTATGAGAGAGAGAGAACACAGGCAGTGGGGAGGGGAGAGGGAGAGGAAGAAGCAGGCTTCCTGCCGAGCAGGGAGCCCGAAGCAGGGCTCGATCCCAGGACCCCGAGATCATGGCCTGAGCTGAAGGCAGATGGTGGCCCAAGATTTTTTTTAAGTCATCTCTGCACCCAAACTGGGGCTTGAACTCATGACCCTCAGAGGACAAGAGTCGCACCCTCTTCTGACTGAGCCAGCCAGGCGCCCCTCAGCTCTGTGTATTTTTATCAGCATGCGTAACTGACACCAGATTCACTTCTTAAATTACGTAATTCCTGTGGTAACTTAATAGAAATAATGGTAAATAATTTGACAGAAAAAATAAACCTAGTGAACCCAAGGGCATTTTGACAGAAAGTCCCGCGGGCATCCTCTGGTCTTGGAGCTGCGTAGTAGGCGTCCCGGACAGACCCGCGAGGGCTGGGGCTTCTGTGCAGGAGTTTGGTCACGGTCACGTTCCTCGGTCGCGTGCTCTTTAGTTACTGGTACGCCATGGGCTCGGGGGCTTACCGGACCCGCCGTGCGGGCCTTGGCTATTTTGTTGGGTGCTGTCGCCTGCTGAGGTGCGGTGTGTGGCTTGCTCTGTAGCGCTCTCTCCGGCGATAGCTCAGTGATGTCCCGTTCTCTGCGGCTTGTCACACGAGCCACCTGAAGCCTCAGGTCCTCACACGAGCCCAGCCGGTTACGTCCTCCGGGCTCGGCAGGGGTGATTCGCTGCTGCTCCGCAGTGTGTGGGGCCTTGGCTGGGGCGGCTCACAGCGCAGAGGGGTGGGGCTGTGGGGGGCTCGCAGGGGGCGGGGGCTCTCTCTCCCCTTTAGTCTCGGCTTCTCACGGTGCCTGCTGGCTATGGTCTCTGCGTCGGGCAGCCTCAGCACGGTTCGATTTCTTCCTTAGCGACTCTAGGCTTCCAGAGAAAGTGGCCAGAGACCAAGGTAGATGCCTTGAAAGTCACACGATGTTGGTTCTGCTGCGTTCGGCCAGTCACACGAGTCGCAGGGCAGGGACAACATCGGGTTTGTGCGGAGGCATGGTTTGTGGGCAAGTCATCTCCGGAGATGAAGGACGTGGCTAGATGGAGGTTTTTCTGTGGGGTTTCCAGGAGGTGGTCTACTATAGCTACAGGAAAAACACTTTCCTCTGAAAAACTGTCTTCAAATGACTTTCTATCAATTTTTGATGCCAAATGCTTGAAGGTTGCATTTCCTTGCAAATATTTCTTTACTAAAACTCGAGTGTGTCATATACTAGAAAATATGATGGTCAGGTTCACATGGAACAAAGAAGGCAAGTTCATGTCAGTGAAGGGTCCCGTCTTCAGCAAAGTTAGAGCTCTTGTGAAATTACATACCAGATAACACTGCACCATTTAGGAAGCAGAATTTGCTGGAAAGGCAAGCAGAAGTGGGGAAAAATCTGTTAGGGTTAAGAGACTTGACGATCACTCTCTTGATTCTTCTTTGTCCGGATAGACAAAAAGAAAGAGGAGCGTCCAGGATTGATGCCATGAGCTCATCTGGTAGCACAGATGAAATTCTGTGTTCGTCATCGAATTGGAGTCAATCAAAGGCAGAGCAAATAAGTGATGAAGTTCGTCCTCCATTCTTTTTTTAAATTTTTATTGTTTATTTTTTTTATCCTCCATTCTTGATAATTAACAGCAAGCTGAAAACAGAAGAAAAGCTCCTGAAACTAGTGAAGGATATCTGTGAGAATCACCTGAGACGCCGCGTTTACCTGTGGATTACTGGAAGCTGCCCGTCGGGGTCAGGGGGTGGCCAAGGCTGCCGCTGCCCTGCTTCTCTCCAAGTTTGGCCTGGTCGTCTGAGTTGGCAGTTTTAGTCACTGTGAATCATGCTTTATTGTTAGACCTAGCTAAAGAAAAGTCTCAGCAACACAGACACAAATAAATGCTGGGAGCGCTGATGTGGCCGGACGGGTGTTCGCTGGTATTGACAGAGCCAGCGGGAGCCGCGGCCTTGGAATTCCAGCGGGGGCCGGTGGGATTACCTGGTTTCATCAGGGCCTCTGGCCTGCAGAAACGTGATCCTTGCCGGCCCACAATAGGATGTAAAATTTAGAAAAGAGCATTTTCAGGATTAGTGGTCATACTCTTTTTTGATCTCATGATGTCAGTTTGCTACTGTGGTTCAAAGTCGTTAGGCTTTCACTCCCAGGGTTGAAATTGGCTTTCAGTGTGTTTGGTTTTGGTCCCAGATGGAGTCGTCCGCGTCCTCCTCCGTGTGAACCCTGCCCGCCCCGAGCTGTTGAATCCAGGCCCGGAGCGCGCTGCGGTCAGGTCGCAGACATACTTAGATCCCGAGCTCTGTTCCCCCGCCAGGCGTCTGCTAAGCATGGGGGACATTGCTCAGCGTCTTGGTGACTGTTGTGCGTGTCAGTTACTCTCTGGGCTGCCAGCTCCCCGGATGGCCCTGTTTGGTCGTATCTCGAGGGCTAGTCTGCATTTTCAGTAGGTCTGTTAGGAGACAAAGAACAAAAAACTCCGTCTCAGGCAGGCTTTCCAGGCTCTGAAGGAACAGTGATTTTGATGCTCCGTCTTATCTTTCTGTTGCAGATGTGGCTGCCATTGCGTGTGGTCGAGAATTCTTGGTTAACTCAAGCCGGGCTCTCTTGGACACCGTGCTGCAGCTTCTGGGGGACCTGAGGCCGGGACAGTGCACCAAACTCAAAGTGTACGGTGGACGGTATTAAAAAGCTCGTGTTTATTTACTTATTAGTTAGAATTTGCTGACTGGGCTTCTTTTGCAAGTAAACACAGGTAATTTGGCAACAGTTCCAAAAGAGCAGAAGAAACACATGACGTGGAGAATTAAGGGATGTGTTCTTTATTCACTGCTGTTTCAGAAAAATCCTAAGATGCGAAAAGAATATTCTCACCGTTAGAGCAGTCAGTGAGCCCCAGATGCTATTATGTGACGCTTCAGGGTTCTGTTAATTGCCCCACAGTGAGCTTGGAAGTGTTTGTGACAGCAGTGTCCCACCTCCAGGTATGAAAATCGGACTGGGTTTCTGCTGGGTAAAAACCTCGTGGTTCAAACAACACGTCCTTCTCAGTTCTGTAGGTCGGAGTCCAGTGGGGGAGCTTACCTGGGTCTCTGACGAGGGTCTCTGGCCAGAGTCGCGGTGTTGACTGGCCCTTTTCCAGAGGCTCCAGGCGGGTGGCTTGTAGGAACGTTCAGGTTGCCAGCGAATCCCATCCCTTGCCCTTGTAGGTCTGAGGCTCTTATTCCTTGCTGGCTGTCACATGTGGCTTTTCTAGCTTCTGGGCTCACTGAATTTCTGATCACACTACCACCCATCTCCAAGCTCACTGAATCCTTCCTATACGGGGAAGCTCTCGGACTTCCTCTTCTACCAGCCGGAGAGAATGCGGTGCTTTTGATGGGCTCATGGGTGTTAAGTTAGGGATCACACAATGAACTCCCTCTTGATGGGCTCCGAGTCCCTTGATGGGTCACGTCCGTTACATTTGCTGTCACTGTCTTCCAAAGAGCTTACCACAATCAGGGTGTTTTGCTCTGCGTCCAGCCCTGGGGACTAGGGCGGGAGATGTCTGGCCATTTTAGGCTTCTGCCCACCACACTGTTCATTCTGAGTGGCTGCTTTTCCTCCTTGGAACATGGTTTCTAGTAGCTTCTTTAAAGTCTCTGTCCTCTTGGCCTGGTGTCTCTTGGTTGTCTTTTCCCTTGTGAGTTGGGATTTTTCCCATTTCTTCATGTGCAGAGTCATTTTGGGTCGTACTGTGGACATTGGAATATGGGGATACCCCAGGTCTTGCTGAAACTGTGGAGAAAGCGTCGTTTTTGTTTGAGTGGGCCGTCAGCCCGGTTGGTTTACCGTCATAAGCTCTGACCAGCCTTTTGGGTCACTTCCTGCTTCGGAACCGCCCTCTGCTGCCACCTGTGCCTACCTGCCACCTGGCTCGTCGCCGGCCGCTTCCTCCCCAGGCTGGGACATGCTGCTTGTGACCGGACTGACGTGCGCAGCGCCTGGCGTGAGGCCAGGGCTTCTGAACAGCCTGGTGGGGCCGCCTGCCTGACTGCTGAACTTCCCGCCGCGGGCCGGGGACTGGGTTTCCCCTTCGCCTGGCCTGCTGGGGTTCTGCGCGCCCCGCCGCGTCCCGCACTTCCGCAGCGTCCAGGGCCGGGGAGGATTTCCTTCCACACAGCTGGGGTGACGCGGGGGCCCCCGCGCTCTGCAGAGCCCTTCCCTGGCACCCCTGCCCGAGTGGTGCCTGGTGCGTCCGTGCCGCCCCGGGCTCGGGGGCCGGAGGGCGAACTCGCTGGTGGTCGCTGCTCTCGGAATTCTGGACTTCCCGGTCTGGACTTCCCGCTCCGGTTTGCCTGTCTGGGGTTTCACGAGCCGCTCCGAGCTTTCTGTTCAGCATTCTTAGCTGCGCTCGGTGGAAGCGGAGCGTGGCTGTGGCTCCCGCCTTATCTGGGAGCAGATTCTCGAGTCTGTTCTGGTATTTTCTACCGACAGATACATGTCCGTGAGCAGTCTGCTACAGCACGGCGCGTGACTCCTGCAGTGCTGCGTGTGTGTTCACACGTGCGTCTGTGGCTCTAGTTAATTCCTTTCAAGTGTCCTGCACGGGAAAACGTGTAACGGTTGGATTGTCTTCTCCCTGACTGACGGGCACTGGGTTACTTTCAGGCTTTACCGCTCACGCGGAGCAGCGTGGGGAGCACCTGTGGCAAACTCCCCCTTGCCCGCCCGTGCGAGCGCCGCTCCAGGAGCCGGACGCGGAGAGCGGCGTCTGGCAGGGAAGCAGCGCACGCTCCCCGGTGTGGCGGCGCCACGTGGCCACCAGAGCCCGCACCTCCCCCGACAGCAGCGGCGTTCCGGGGCCCCCGGCCCTCCTCAGTGCTTCGTTCTCTGTTCCCCTCTTGGAAAGACTGTTCTCTGGATCCGCCTGCCTGTCTCTGGGTGGATGTTACCAGCGAGGGGCAGGTCTGCAACAGTTTTGTTCCTGTGAATTACCTGTTCGCGTCTGTTGCCTCTTTTCCGTCGGGCTGTATCTCTCCCGACGGCGGCGGTTTCGTGCGCGCTCGGATACTGCACATTGTCTCTCCTGCGCTGTGGTCTGCGCGAGCTCAGGGCTTCCGAGGCTAGGCTTTGTGTGGGGCCGCGTCTCTCCCGGTCCCTGCGGTGCCGGCGCGCGGAGCCCGTGCTTGCTTCCTCCGCAGCCCTTGTCCTGCCTCGGGCGACGCGCAGACTCGCGTCCGGAGACGTTTGCTTGCTTGCTTGGCTCTTTTCCATCCGCCGCGGAGCAGAGCCCACCTGTGGACTGTTCGCCTCAAACCCCACTTGGGACCTCGGCATTCGCCATCCCGAAGTGGCTGTCCTGCTGTCACGGTCTCTGGCCGCCTCCGGATCTGTAGGCCGCTTGGCCGCGTTTTCCTTCCCTGCTCACGCCTGACCTGGGTCCTCTGGAGCCAGGACGTTTCTGGCCCTGCAAGTCCGCTTCTCTTTTTGGCCTCTCGCTCTCCCGACCGTAACTTGGCTCTTCCCTTTTCATCTCTGTGAGCAAAGGCTGCTCATTTTCAGCAGTTTGGTGCCTCAGACCCAGAGATAGGGAATTTTAAAAAAAGACTTACATTTTTTAGAGCAGTTTTAGTTTCACAACAAAATTTAGAGGAAGATACAGAGATTTTCCATATTCCCTCTGGTCCCCCCCCACATGGTCATTCCCACCATCAGCATCGCTCACCAGAATTTTTTTTGCCAACAGTGAGCCTACACTGACACGTCATAATCTCATAATCGCCCGAAGACTGTAGTTTACCTGCATTAACTCTTAGTGTGTACACTTGGTCTGCTTGGACCTCTGTGTTATGACATAACGTTCATCAGGGCAACAACATACAGTGTTTCCACTGCCCTAGGAATCTGTCGTGTTCTACTGGTTCCTCTTTCCTCCCCCACCACCCCTGGCAACCCCTGACCCGTCACCGGCCCCACCACTGTGCCTTCGCCAGTGAGTCCTGTCGCTGGGATCACACGGGATGCAGCCTTCTCAGACCGGCTCCTGTCACTCCTGTCACGGCCCGTCCGTGTCTTCCCATGGCTTTGAGTTTTAAGAGTTCTTTGTGTATTTTGGATGACTTTCCTCTATCACATGTGTCTTCTGCAAATATTTTCTCTCTGTCCGTGGGTTGTCGTCTTACTTTCCTGGCACGGTCTTTCATGGAACACAAGTTTTTAATTTTGATGACGTCCAGCTTATCAGTGACTTCGTTCACGGAGCTCGGTGTTGTGTCTACAAAACAGGCGTCACTGTATGGGGCGCAGACGTTCTCTGACGTTATTCCCTGGTAGCTTTACAGTTTTGCATTTTATGTTGGGGTCTGTGACGCAGGTTGACATAGTTCTGTGGCGCACGTAAGATTGGCGTCTGGGCTCATTTTCGCACGCACGGACGTCCAGTTGTTCCAGTGCCACTTGTTGAAGAGACCATCTTCGCTTCCTTGCGTTGCCTTCGTTTGCTTGTCCGGCGTCCGCTGGCTGTGTTTGTGCGGGTCTGTGAGCTCTGTTCTGTTCCATTCGTCTCTGTCTTTTCTGTCACCAGTACCACACCGTTTCGACCCCTGTAGCTTCATGGTGAGGCTTGAAGCCAGGTAGGGTTGGTCCTCCAACCTGTTCTTCCGTGCCCTGTCGGTTCTTCCGGCCCTCTGCCTCTGCACAGAACCTTACAGTCGGTTTGCTAAGCCCCAGAGTAACCTGCTGGGATTTCAACTGGGATCCATGCGTCTGCCGACCAAGTTGGGGAGAGCAGACGTCTTGACAATGTGGAGTCTTCCTGTCCATGAAAATGGAATCAATCTACCCATTTTTTTCTTTTTCTTTTCTTTTCTCACTTCCCTTCCCTTTTTCTTCCTTTCTTTCTTTAAGATTTATTTATTTGAGTGAGAAAGAGAGGAGGGACAGAGGGAGAGGGAGAGAAAAACTCCAGCAGACTCCTTACTGAGCCCAGAGCCTGATGTGGGGTTGGATCTCACGACCCTGAGATCATGACCTGAGCTAACACCAAGGGTTGAACGCTTAACCAGCTGTGCCACTCCGAGGCCCCAGTCTGTCTTTCTTCCTTCCCTTCCCTCCCATCTGCCTTTCTTTCTATTTTCCATTTACTTAGTTATTTGCTTCATCAGAGTTTTCTGGTTTTTTCATACAGGTCTTATACATATCTTGTTAGATATATGCCCGAGTACTTAATTTTTAGGAGGTGCTAAGGTGAGTGGTATTGCATTTTTTTTTTAAAGATTTTATTTATTTATTTGACAGAGATCACAAGTAGACAGAGAGGCAGGCAGAGAGAGAGGTGGAGGCAGGCTCCCTGCCGAGCAGAGAGCCCGATGCAGGGCTCGATCCCAGGACCCTGGGATCATGACCTGAGCTGAAGGCAGCAGCTTAAACCACTGAGCCACCCAGGCGCCCCGTGGTATTGCATTTTTAATTTCAATTCTACAGGTACATTGTTGGTATATGGGAAACCATTTGACTTTTGTATGGTTGCCTGGTATCCTGAAACCTTACTATAATCTTACTGGTTCTAGGAGGGTTTTTTGGTTGATTCTTTTAGATTGTCTGCATAGACGATTATGTCATCTGTGGACAAAGACAGTTTGATTTCTTTCTTCCCAACCTGTATACTTTTTTTTTTTTTAAGATTTATTTATTAGAG